GAGGAGGAAGAGGAGGAGGAGGAGGACGAGGAGGAGGAGGAGGAGGAGAACGAAGAGGAGGAGGCCTCCTTCCGCGCCTCGCCACCCGGGGGGCTGCCAGCCATGACGTGGGAACACAGTGCCCGATTTCGCGACTCTGCCTCCGTCGAATCGATCGTGCCCCTCGAAAGTTCGAGACGTCGGGCGCGGTGCTCTGGTTGGACGTGGACGAGGTCGCCAATCTTGTGGGGCACCGACCGGGGGGGCGCCCTCGCACGCTTCAGGAGCTCCTGACGGCGACGAGCTCCGTCCTCAGAGGGCGGCCAGCGAACGCGGCAGCGCCAGGATGGACATCCCAGTGGCGGAACACCGTCAGTGGTTTCTAGGTCAGCGAGCAAGTCGACGGCATGATCTACCGTGGTATTACTGGCGGCTAGTACGCTGTGCAAGAATTTGCAAAAGGCTGTCGAGCTGGCTGCCCGCGCCGCTGTATGGTGGCCGGTTGCCGAGGCCCGTGGCGAGGCCGAGATTCGCCGCGAAGGCCTCGCCCGGGGCCGCCGCGCAAGGGGCCCGGCAGGCGGGTGCGCCCAACAGTGGTTTCTGATGCGGTCTCTACGGCGTTTGGCTCAGGCCATTCAGCCGTCCCTGTGCCCTGAGCAGGGCGGCGACGCGGCCAACAAGGACCCCAAGACGGGCCAGAACAGGCCTCGGCGAGCCCCAGACCTCCATCATGGCCCGGAGATGGCCCAACGGGCCCCCAGCGCGGCCCAAGAGGGGCCACGAGGACTCGAGAGACAGACCCAGGAGACCAGAAATCAAGCAAGAACCTTGTGTGTTCCCATTGTTCCCGACGCTCTCGCCACGACGGGTTCAGAAATGCCCCGCGCAGCTTCAGGCATTCTCGCGACCACCCCACGATGGCCCAAAAGGCCTCAACGAGCGCAGCAAGACGGCCCAAGAGGGCTCGAAGCCGGCCCAAGACAGGCCCCCGACTGCCTGCTGGAGTTTCACGTGGTCCCCCAAGACGCACCAGGAACTGCCCACGACGGCGCACACTGGGTTCCCAGACGGCCTCCGTACGGCCCATCAGGGGGCCCCCGTCGGATGCGGTTCTCTCCGTCCTCTCAGGGAGCTGTCTGAAGCCTCCTCCGGCCGCCTGGATCTCCGTGGGGACGTCCGCGGGCACGGACGGCCCTTTTTTTCGGAAAGGCCCGCGAGCTCCTTACGGGCCCCAATACCATCAGGACGTTCGAAGACCCCCAGCCCCAGCTCCCCAAACCTGCAGCAAACCGCGCAGCTAACCTCAGGGATAACATATCGACTTCTTCAACAGAAACCGCACCGCACGCACGCACAGAAAGTGTCCTGGGCTCTCCCCGAGAAGAGGCTCTTGGGAACAGCCCGGGAGCGGCCCCAGAGGCGCCCAAAAACCGCAAGAGAAAGGCTCGCAGGAGGGCCCAGCATGCCCCCCACACGGACCCAGGGACGCCCGAACTGTTCGACTTCGACGAGCTGTTCACCCACGGCGCGCGGGCGGGTCTCAGGTTCAGCACACCGTGAATTTAATCCACGGCTTCATACTACTCCGCCACAACACCCATATCAACGCGCGCGAGAAAGACGGGAGGAACAGTGGCGGCGCTGCTCAGCGAGATGTTGGGAGTGAAGCTGGAGCCCGCCATCATCTGCTAGAACACCCCGACGAGCGCGTGCAAGAAGGACGAGCAAGGGCAGGGGCGGCCGGCCCTGGCACTGCGCAGCGACACGTTGGGACCGAAGCTGGAACCCACCATCATCATCCTCATTTTGACCCACAGCACCCCCATCAGCGCGCGAGAGAAAGACAGGCAAGGGAAGAGGCAGCCGGCCCTGGCGCTGCTCAGCGAGATGCTGGGTGCAAGGCTGGGGCCCCCGATCACCTGCTGCAACATCCCAATGAGCGCGTGCGAGAAGCGAGAAGGACGAGCAAGGGCAGTGGCAGCCGGCCCTGGCGCTGCTCAGCGAGATGCTACGAGCAAAGCTGGGGCCCAGCATCACCTGCTAGAGCACCCCGATCAGTGCGTGCGAGAAGGACGGGCAGGGGCAGCGGCAGCCAGCCCTGGCGTTGCGCAGCGAGATGTTGGGACCGAAGCTGGAGCCCACCAGGATATGCTATAACACTCCGATCAGCGCGTGCGAGAAGGACGGGCAAGGGAAGTGGCAGCCGTCCCTAGCGCTGCTCAGATCCCGAACAGCGCTCGCAAAAACGACGAGCAGCAAAGGCAGGGGCAGCTGGCCCTGGCGCTGTTCAGCGAGATGTTGGGAGTGAACATGGAGCCCACCATGATCATGAGCTACACAGCCCAGCTCTGCGCGCGCGAGAAAGGCGGGCAGTGGCAGCCAGCGCCGCCGCTGCTCAACGAGATATGGGCGTCGAAACTGGAGCCCACAATCATCAGCCACAGCGCTGCGATCCCCACGGGCGAGACGGGCGTGCAGTGGCCGCAGGTTCCTGCGCTGTTCCTGGTGACGTGGGTGGCGAACGTGAGCCCGACCTCCATCAGCTACAACGACGCGATCAGCACGTGCGTGAAAGACAGACAGAGGCAAGGTGAACAGTGGGACCGCGGGCGATGGCACTGGCAGCGCGGTGACAGGAGTGGAGGAACGGCAGTGGCAGCACGGTAGGAGGAGCAGGCAACGGCGGCAGAAAAGGGGACGGCAGTGGCAGCACGGTGGTGGGAGGAGGGCCCGGTGGCGTTGACAAGGCGGTCCCGGATGCAGGAAGGAAACAAAATAATAATGATAGTAATAATCATACAAAAACATGTATATATGACGGAAACAAGAAATAACCGCCCTGGGTCCGCCCGGCCTTTGCCAACTTGGCGCATTCGGCGCCTCACTTGCCATGGGCCCCGCAGATTGGCCGCCGAGCCTGCTGGCAGCTCGCGCTGCCCCAACTTGGGGAGCACCGCCGTTGCGGCACCCTCCCTCCCCCCTCTGTTTTCGTCCCCCCGCTTCGCCAGGAGCCCGAGCCCCGCCCCCGCTTCTAATGGGCGCCGCCCGAGTCCTTGGCTGTGATGCGCGCGCTGGCCCTGGGCTTTGCTTGCTGCCTCTTCGCCCCCCCTCCCCGCGGCCCCTGGGCGTCGGTTGGCGGCTCCTGGGCGTCGGCATTCCTCCTGCGCCCCGCCTCGCCTGACCTCTTTGGTTCCCCTCGCGCCACTGCCCGCCTCGTCCCAGCCGCGCGGCACCCTGCCAGGCCTCACGCCCACCCGCCGCCGCCAGTCCTCGCCGCCTCCCCCGGCCGGCCCCCGGCGCTCCCGTCCCGCCCCCCTGGCGGCCCGCTGCCTCCGCTGCCTCCGCTTGCTGGGCCCGCCTTGCACTGCGGTTGCCGGCTTCTCCCCTGGGTGCGCCCGCGACGCCGCCCCGCGTTCGCTGCCAGGGGCTGCCATGCGGCCTGGCCGCCCCGCGCGCCCTCCCGCGGCCTCGCCGCGTGAGTGCGCCTTCCTCCTCCCCCTCCTCCTCCTCCTCCTCCTCCTCCTCCTCCTCCTCCTCCTCCTCCTCCTCCTCCTCCTCCTGCCCCTCCTCCTCCTGCTCCTCCTCCGGTCTCTGCGGCCGGCTCTCTTCTTTTCCTCTTCCTCGTGCATGCGGGACAATTCGCAATGCCGGGGCCCGGATTGCTCGGACGCGCGTACGGATCGCCGCTGCCGCGCCGGGACGGAAAAGTCTCGGTAGCGGCCCACGGCGGCATGCTGTGCCTTGCAAGCCGGCCGCGTGTCGCTCCACTCCGCGGTGCGGACGGCTGGGCAAAGCTCAGGACGCTAACGCTCGCGGACGGGGGCGTGCTCAGCGTGTCGCGCCGAAGCGTGCTGGGCCAGAACCGGCGGCGCGACAGGCGAAGCAACAGTTCCTCACCGTACGGCCTCACACAACCTGCGGCAGCTTCAACCCCACTCGTGGCCTGGCTGTGCCCCATCTTACCCGCCTCGGCCATCACACAATCAAGGGCAGGCATCTAAGGTCCTGCGGTGAGCGAGGGGGGAATTGAGAAGGAGAAGGCCTGATCAGAAGGCGGCGGAACTTTTCAAAGCCCTCGCGCCTTCTGGGAAGTTTCCTGTCGTCGGGGATGGCTTCGCACACTTCTCAGAAAGCTGGGGGACTTCCGAGCCTTCTGACAAGGCCCGCCCCTTCTCACTTGCCCCCCCCCCCGGCAATCCGCCGAAAAGTAGCTGAACAAGGTCGCTCAGCGGGAGAGACACCGTGCAGGAGAGGCTCGTCGCCCGAGCCTCGCCTGCTGAGCCCTCGCCTGACCCCGCCCAATCCCTCCGAGCCCCAACGTCAAAGAAGGCGCCGCTGCGCCTGCTGCCCACACACACACACACACACAAGCAAACAAGCAAACAAACACACACACACATACACGCACGCGCACGCACGCGCGCACACACACGCGCACGCACCCACACACGCAAACACGCAAACACCCACCCACACACACACACAGACGCCCACACACACAGACAGACACACACACACACACACACACACACACGCACACACACGCACACACACACACACACACACACACACACACACACACACGCACCCACCCACACACACACACACACACACACACACACACGCACGCATACACACACACACAGAGAAAGCACGCAGCCACGAGCGCCACTCCTCCGAGGAGGCCAGGCACGGGCCGCGCCAGAATGAGGCGCAGCGCGAGGGG